GAACGTTTATAACTCCCCTCCACTTTGCCGTACGTCTGGAATTTCCTAGACACATCCGGTATTCAGATCAAGTAAACAGCGTCACGGCGGAAAATGCGGAAATGTCTGGGAAAATCCGGACTCCATCCAGATTTCATTAAAAGTAGTTCAAAAACTCATTTCTCTCCCCCCCCCAAACAAGCTCAGAAATCTTTGTGTCCGGGTTTTCACTTTTTTTTTAAGAATATGGCAACCCTACCCAAGTCTCCACAGCAGATGACAAAACCACCCCAGAAACACTTATGGATAAAGACACCCTACAAAAGCCCAGCCCCAAACAAAAACCCACTCAACCATACAATAAAATATAAATATAATCAGATAATAAGGGTAAGCTTCATGGCTTGGTGGGGGTTTGAAGATAGGTCTCCCTGGTCAAAGTTCATAGTCTAGGCCAGCTTTCTCCAGCAAGATATTTTGGACTGCAACTCCCCTCCAAGTCTCTTTATCTGGCCCTTGGAAGTGACCTCAGGCCACGCTTCTTCCCCAGGCCACACCCTTCACTGGCCATATCCCCCCCCGCCGGAATGTGTCTGGAATGTGTCCTTGGACTAAATTATTTCCTCTTACTTGCTTGCATGGAAAGATGTAAATGTGGAAACCTCTGGCTTTTGTGTGGCTGGACTGTAGCCTACTGTACAAAGATAAAAGTCACATCTGTTGCCGCACCCACTGTGGCCCCTGGAAGGTTATGCATGACATTCCCCACCTCTGAAACAGAGCCTTGGATTTGGCTAAAGCGGGGTGTGAGTGTGGGCCTGCCCTACTAGGCATACTTGTGAAATGATAGAGTGAATTTCCTCCTTACATTTCTCCTACCCTGTGGTTCCTGTTATCCTGTAGATGACAAATGGTGGCATTTCATTTCAGCTACATGCTATGTCTTGGGTTCCTGAACCTCACCTTGTTTTATTGTCTTCAGGATGGCTTCTGGTGCATGCACAACAAATTTATCCTGTGCGCCATTTCGAATCACGCCCAGGAGAAGAAACATGTCACAAATACTGATTGCACACAAATGACTCCAGACTGCAGTTTGAAACCCTGATGTTTCAAGCAGCTCTGCAACTTGTTCTGATCAATTAGTCACCATGCCAGGCAACAACAAGCAATCCCCAGGCACCTTCCCTGTCTATCTTTGGGCCAAGAGGGACTGCACAGCCAACCCGCTATTCTTTTTTTTTATATAATAATTTTCATTAAGTTTTCCATTTTAACAATCCAATCATATCACATTAATTATTCCAAATTATACCAATACATATCATAAAGTCCAACTATTTTGCCAAATTATAAATTTTTGTTGGGGGTTCCCATGCTTCGAGTTCAGTAGGGTCCGATCATCTCATATTTCTGCTGCTTTTAGTATTCACCAGTCCCATCTTTCAATCTTCTTGTTGTTATCCTTTTCCTTCTTAATAGGCTCTGAGTTGTTTCCACAGGTGAGTTGAAGTAAGCAGTATTATGCTTCTGTGTGAACTTTGTATGGCTCTCCCTTTTTTAAAAAAGCTGGTAAGTCTTTTGTTTGCAATAAATCCTCACACGCTGTTATTTATGCCGAATCCATCCAAAAGTCCTCCTCGGGTAGCAGACACCACCTTTCTCAGTTCCGATGAAATAGAATCTAGGCGTTTGCAGGTAACCCGCTAGTCTAACCTGACAGTCAGTTCAAAGACTTCCTCAAATTCAGATCTGTTCTTGTGCCAATTTTCATGGGTGCTCCCAGTACCCCGCTGGGGTACGCACCTCCCTGCCCCATGTTAAAAGTGTGGCACATACTGTAACAGCTTCATGGTGAGTAAGGTAAAGGTAAAGGGACCCCTGACCATTAGGTCCAGTTGTGACCGACTCTGGGGTTGCGGTGCTCATCTCGCTTTATTGGCCGAGGGAGCTGGCGTGCAGCTTCCGGGTCATGTGGCCAACATGACTAAGCTGCTTCTGGTGAACCAGAGCAGTGCACGTAAATGCCGTTTACCTTCCCACCAGAGCGGTACCTATTTACCTACTTGCACTTTGACGTGCTTTCGAACTGCTAGGTTGGCAGGAACAGGAACCGAGCAATGGGAGCTCACCCCGTCGTGGGGATTCGAACCGCCGACCTTCTGATCGGCAAGTCCTAGGCTCTGTGGTTTAACCCACAGCACCACCCATGTCATTGTGAGTACTGGCACCTTAAAAAAATAAATCACTGGGTGCATCACATATGATCATTGTGTGAAAGTGCAGGACCAAGGCCCTTGGCAGCCATGCCCCAGTCTCTGCACATTACATGAGGTGTGAAAGAAGCATTGAGGTCAGGGTTCTTTCTGTTTTGTTTGTGGGGAGGTTAGATGGTGGTGTGTCAAATAAAATGTCACCCCACACTTTCCAATGCATTTCCCTATCAGTTTCCTTGTTGCAAGGGGAAGGGAGTTCGTTGTGCAAGGCCTCCCAGAGAACTCCGTTGAAGTTGAATTTGCTGGATTTTGTGAATCCCTCCCACAAAGAAGTCAACAATATGGAAGTGCCCATTTTCTCTGAAGTTGGAGGTGGGTGTCTTATGTCCTAGAAAGCCTTTTCCCTGTATACCTGAAGGAGCACCTCTGCTCTTTGAGGGTCTTCTGGAGGTTCCCTCACTGTGAGAAGTGAATTTGCAGGGAACCAGGCAAAGGGCCTTCTCAGTAATGGTGCCCACCCCATGGAAAGCCCTCCCATCCGTGGTCAAGGAGATACGTAACTATACAGCCTTTAGAAGACATCTGAAGGCAGCCCTGTATAATAGGGAAGTTCTTAAGGTTTAATGTTTTATTATGTTTTCATATATGTTGAAAGTTGCCCAGAGTGGCTGGGGCAACCCAGTCAGATGGGCGGGGTACAAATAAAACAATAACAATAATAATAGTAATAATTTCAGAGAGTGAGATCTGATGTATCCTCTGCCCCTGAGATGCCTGTCTAGGGGGCCATAGGATGGGAAATTAGGCCAGGGAAGCATCTTCTCTCGCTTTATACCTAGCAGGGATGAGGAACCTCAGGTCTGAGGGCAAAATGTGGTGCCCCAGGTCTCACAATCTGGTCCTCAAAACTTTCTCTAGCCCACCCTCTTGTACCCTCAGTGTTTTTGCCTGGCCTCTTGCTTGCCTGGAGGGAGGATAGAGAGGGGTGGCTTGAGTGTGTAGAAACTAGCCGACTGTACAAAGGTATGATTGATATTCGCTGCCCACGTTTGCCCACGGCCATGCCCCCCGCAGGCACATGGCTCTCAGAAGCTTACCCTGAAAGGAATGTGGGCCTCAGGGTGAAAAGGGTTGCCTGAAACTGATACATAGTCCCACGCAGCCCTTCCCTGGGTTGACTCATTCTTTGGTGGCAGAAAACATTGCTGTTAAGAGAACTGGCTTTCTGCAAACTCTTTTGCTTGAAACCAGTTTGGAGAGAAGCCATTCCCACTTAGAGTAAAAGCCTGATTAGATGTTTCTGTTGTCTCTGAAATTTAATTTTTTAAAAAATATTTTGGGAACAAACACATGAAGGGGGGAAAACACACACACACACACACACACACACACACACACACCCTAGTATATTCCTGCAATTAGTCTAGAAATGGAAGCAGAATTCTCTCTGTGTTTGCTAATGCATGCTTGGCCCCCCCTCCCCCCTGCTGAGAGTGAAGTGATAATGTGAGTATTATGATTAAATTACGTTAATGTGCAAATATGTACTGATTTCATCTAAAGAGCACTTTACGAGTTTCCTCCGTAAAGCTGTATAAACACCAGTAATCTGTACCGCAGCGGGCCTCGTTAGTCATCGGCCACGTTTAAATCTATCAAGCTGGGAGGCTGAACTCACTCTGACATCTTTGCTTTCAAAGTAAAGCGCCTACCCCTGGGAATAGAAAACTCAGTTATTACCACTTAAACGTGAAGCAAACGCTCCGTTTTCGGAAAGGAATCAGATTCATGGTTCCCCCACTCCCACCCCACACAATTCAACATTTTTTGGGTTAATGGAACAAGCTCACGGCAGCACAAATGACTCATTTGTCTTTTGTTGTTCTCTTTGATGTGCACAGATGATGACCTTGGGGCTATCTGCTGGGTGTGCTTCTCTGCTCCAAAGGCTGGTTCTGCGTCAGGGGCGGATAAACTTTTGAAAGCTCAAGGGCCACATTGCCTCACAGGCAACCTTCCCGGGGCCGCATGCTGGTGGTGGGTGGGGCCAGAGGCAAAAGTTTACCTGTGTAAACTGGCTTACATTCCATACCTGCCAACATTTCTCTGATGAAAATAGTGATGCCCTATTCCATAGTAGTAGTAGTAGTAGTAGTAGTAATAATTATAGTAATTTTATTATTTATACCCTGCCCATCTGAATGGCTTGCCCCAGCCACTCTGGGAGGCTTACAAAATAAAAACATAATAAACATCAAACATTTTAGCAAAACTTCCTTATACAGGGCTACCTTCAGGTGTCTTCTGAAGGTTGTATAGTTACTTATCTCCTTGGCTCAGAAGTCGCATAACTCCATACCCAAGGAAAATAGGGCTGTCCTACCATACCCTCCAACATTTCTCTGATGAAAATAGGGACGTCCTAAGGGAAAGCGGGACATTCCAGGATCAAATCAGAAACCGTGACTGTCCTTGGAAAATAGGGACACTTGGAAGATCTGACATTCCAGCAAAAGGCAGAGGTCCCTCACATACCCCTTTCTCTATCTGGGCAAGTGAGAGGCACTATGGTATGCCAAACCGGGCAAAGGCACCTGAGGGTGTGAGGTAGGGCTGGGGTCTGGTGAGGGTGTGTGGGATCCCTCAGGCCTGAGCTTTTCCACTTCGGCCCTTTATAATACAGTAGCACTTGTTCTCCAAGGTTTGCTGAAGGTTCCGTTGTTTGTTGACATGGTCCCAATTCTTGCATTGTCAATAACACGTCCCCTTCCCAGGCCACACCGATTGTACCACATCAGAACACTGGACCATCCAAAGATAGCTCAGTTGGTAGAACATGAGACTCTTAGTCTCAGGGTCATGCGTTCAAGCTCTATGTTGGGCAAAGGATTCCTGTATTGCAGGGGTTGGACTAGATGACCCTCATGGTCCCTTCCAGCTCTATAATTCCATGATTTAATAGATAGCACAGTGTCGTCTACATCAATGGTGGGGAACCTTTGGCCCAATGAGATCCGGAAAAGGTCCAGATTTGGCTCAACACGCCATGCTTTCCAGACCCCACAGCTGAAGGCATACATGAGGCAGGCATGGGCATGGCTGCAAAGGAACAATTGGGAGCTTAAAGGGAATCCTGATGGTTCATTTGCAAGCAAGGCTCTCTGTCAGCACTTATCAGAGTGGATCTGCATTAGGGAGCACCTTCAAAGGAGGTTGCTGAAACAGCTGATTCCGGGTGCCAATCACTTGACATCATTACCTCCAATAACCTCTGATGTTATTTTTGCAGCTAACCAAAGCAGTTCAGAAAAAGCTATTTAACTGATGCTCTGATTTTTTTTTTAAAAGCAGTTTCTCTCTCCTCTTTCCATTCCCCCAGGCTTTGGCACTTCCATTATCTCTAAGCTGGAGAAAAACCTAAGAGGAAGAACTTCATGAAAGAAAGCAAGATTGCATGTGGAGGGGAAAGAAGCTCATGGATCCCTCTCCAAAATAAACTGGCTGTCAGAGACTGGCTTGGCAAGATCTCCTTGGGGGCTCTGTTGACTGTTGTTACTGATAGGCTAGCGGCAACTGAAAGAGCTGTGATCGGGTAAAGAGGAGGGGGGTGAGGATTGATGGTTTTCCTCCATATGCAGGGGAGCAAACAACAACAGCAGAAGAAGCAAAAACAAAGTTTGTGTGACACATATGTGCTGTTTCTCAGTCTGTTTAGAGACTACAATGGAACACAATACCTTTGCAATCTACTAGCTCTGTGCAAACACCACGGTGTTGATATACAAAGCATGCTTTCTGTGAGATTGTGGCAGCAATGTAGGGCAGACTCCAGCAAGGAAGGACGCAATGTGGCTGCATCGAAGGAAGAGTTAGACTTAGTTTGCTAAGGACCAGCTCTATCTGGCTCCTCCTTCCGTGAGCTGTCACTAGGAAGCAGACATTCCATCAGGCAACAGCAGAGTGAGAGCAAGGAAGCAGGACCACTACATCTGCTCTGCTGAGGGACCACCTCCACCAGATTCCCCTCCATCCATCAGCTGTCATCTGGATGTAGAGGTGCTTGAGCAAGTTGGTTGGGGGGTTTGTGTGTGTGTGTGTGAAATTAAGTATGAATTGAACTGATACTCAACTCATTGACTAGCACGAAGATCATGCTTGTGGACTTTCCACAGGCATCTGATTGGTCACTGTGGGAGCAGACTGCTGGACTAGACAAGCCTTTGGTGTGAGTCACTGCAATAGCAAGGAGTCCTAGCTGGACTGTGCTCAAGTTACTGAAGTAGAACGAACACTTTCTTCTTTGGCGATCACTCATAGTCAAGTAAGATTGTCTTCCATAAACATGGTTTTAACTATGAGTCTGTAAGTGACTGTGGAGGCCAATTCTGGATCCACACGTCCTTCCACAGTGGGGACATTGGTTTCTGGGTGGGAGTTGATCACGGTGTGGATTTGCCAGGTGTGCCTTCCTCTTAGCAGGTTTCTCCCTTGCGTCCTGAGTTCAAGTGTCTTCAAAGCCCATGACACCTTTGGTAAAGGCTGTTCTCCAACTGGAGCGCTCACAGACAATTGTTGATGTTTATACTACATTTTTTTAGATTTGCCTTGAGACAGTCTTTAAACCTCTTTTGTTGACCACCAGCATTACACTTTCCATTTTAAAGTTCGGAATAGAGTAGTTGCTTTGAAGATGATAATCAGGCATCCGCACAACATGACCTGTCCAACGATTGTTGATGTTTTCAGAGACACCGTTGATGGAATCTTTCGAGGAGTTGGAGATGGTGTTTATAAGTGGTCCATGTTTCACAAGCATACAGTAAGGTTGGTAATACAATAGCACACACATATACAAACACCACAGGTTTTTAACAGTTATCCTGCTCTAAGCATACTCAAAGGTTTTGTTCCTGGGCTGTCTAAATTCCTGAAACTGAATAATTCCAGCCCTATACCCACAAGCCAAATATATAACAATTCCTCATGTTCCCTAATTTCAGCAGAAATTCAAATAATGTTTTCAGGATCCTGCTGTATTTTAAATTTATTTCTTACCCTTCCTTCTAGTGAGACCCATATCTGTTCTGCTCCTCTCTAGAGACAGAAAACAAACACATTTTGCACAAGTGAGTCAAACAGCTAACTCAGGATGCTTGAAAAGCTTGTGTCCATAAAACACGCTTGTATATTTTAGAAACAGTGGGGGAACTTTGACAGTGTTTGAGTGTTCCTTTGTGGCTGATCACAAGTTAAGTTCACCAGGAGTGTTATCTTTAGAAGCTGCTGCTGCCTGACAAATTAAGTTTACAGCGTATCTTAAAGGTACTCAAAATATCTCTGGTCTTATGGTCTTATGGGTCAAATATCATAGTAATTCACTTTATTACTGAAGGATATTCTAGCTGGCCTTTCTGCGATAACCTCTTGGACAAAAATAGAGCCCTTCACATGGTAGGTTCAGAAAGCACCAACCAAGCCGAACGGATGCCACAGAGATGCTGAAATATCACACATGCCCAAACCATGTTTTGAGAAATCAACTATTCATTTTCAGTACAGTCTCATGTCTGCTCAGAAATAATGCCAAATGAATTCAATGGGGCTTGCTCTCAGGTAAGTGGGGTTAGGATTGTAGTCTTAGTTATTTTTCACCCATCACCCTGAGATCATTTCTATGAGTTTTGATCAGATCCATGGGCAATACCAGGGGTTTTTTTTTGGGGGGGTGGTGCCTTTCATTTCCTTTAACCCCCCTGCCCCCATGGTTGGTTCCAGTATCTTCAGAGAGCTGCTATGTTGGCAGCCCAGTCCTTGTTTGTATTCCCACCTGTTTGTGATAGTGTCCCAACCTGCCCCTAAAAGAAATGGGAGAATGTTGTCCTCCCTCAGAAGAATTATTTAGTGAGATCCCTCCCTCCAATTTTGCTGCTCGTGAATGGGGGACATAATTGGGAGGGGGCATTTGTGTTTCAAATCATGGACACTAATTTAGGAGTAAATGCTTGGCAACAACTCCTTGTTGAGAGTAAGGATGGGCAGAGCAGTCTGTTTTCATTCCAGGTCAATTTTGCACATGTTCATTCCATCCCACTTTTTCTGGTGGATTTTTTTTTAAGGCACAAAAATTTAAATTGTATGCACGTTCCCTTAAGGTAAGCACGTTATATGAATTTTGTATGCATTCTCCTCCTAAAATATGAATCGCTTATACTTCTTCAATGCATTTCCCCCTTAAACACACGTTTATGCATGCATTTCCCCACGAAATATGCATTTTCCACACATTTGGGTTGGGGCTGAACTGCTCAGCAAAAAATTGGAGAAGCGTGTGATCTGATGAATAGCTGCTTTCCAATCTGTAAATTAGTTCAGAAACAAATGAACTAGGCTGGTTCACATTGAAATGTGAACCAAACCAATTCCTCCTCTATCGCTAGTTGACAACACACTTAATGGCAAACATTGGTTTGTTGCAATGCAATGTGTGAAATGGTCCAAAGGATTGGCCAGTGGCGACTGATGTCCATTGGGACTGGTAGGGTGGAAGGCAGGGAGGCTGACAGTAAGTGGAGCCAGAGCCAATGACAGCCAAAGGTGGAAGGCAAGAAGGCCAATGGTAGGTGGAGCCGTGATGCAGGGCCACGGCCAATGACAGACAGAGCCAATGCATTCGAGTTTTAACTCCATCCTCCTGCTTGCCGAGTTCTGCAAGGGCAACCTTGAGACCAAGGAGGAGGAAGCCTACAGACATTGCCACCCTCTGGATGGCTGAGGGCAGGCTGAGGTTGAAGGGGCAGTGCCCTGTTTGCCATTATGGACTAGAGTCCACTGGGATTGGCTGCCCCTCCCTGCCAAACATCCTTGTGGCTGCAGGAAACAGGTCTGCAGCCGCATAATGTGTGGAGTCACCTTCCATCTTTGCCTGGATTACTGCGTTCTGCTTATACTGCAGTTCATTTCTTGGAAGATCAATAGAACAGTAGGGATGGTGACAGGAGTCACCGAGGGGGGTGGAGATAAATCCCACACCCATCTGCTTTAATGGAACTATTTAGAGCGTTATCTCTGGGAAAACAGAATGTTGAAAGACTGATGATGTAATTGGAAAGGAGACAAATTAAGATATGTTTCCCTGGTGAGTTTTCTCTTCCTCCCTCCCCAAATAGCTCTGAGGTGCACATTTAATAATACCACGGAGTCCCCAGCCTGCACAGACACTCTTGTCACTTTGAGTTAGGCTAGAATCTTTAACGTTGCTACTCGGGAATATAAAACACTCTTGCTGGGGAAAAGGGATGGAAACCCAAAGAGGCTAAATGCAGGCGGTGGAGAAGGAGGATATGAGCAGTGGAGACTAGTCCTTTAGGGCAAGTGAGGCAAGTAAGTCTCCGTCTGCCCACAGCCAACCTCCCCATTAGCCTCCCTCCTTACTTAGAACCAGTCCAGGAGCTACCACCCGGTGTCAGCTTCCTCCTCAGTCTTAATGTTGCTTTTGTAGAACTTGGCAGGGAGGAGGATGGGGACAAAACCAGAATCTGCTGGCTCCGACTATCATTGGCTGTTTCCTTGCCTGCTGTTTGGGCTCCCTAGAATGTGCACCACCAGTTGCAATGGGTACCAGTCTCAACTGAATATGAGCAATGGGCAGAGAAGGCAGGGCCTGCCCAAGGTACTTTGGCACCTGAGGTGAACCACAAAATAATGCCCCTTCCTTGCCAGGGAAGAAGGAGTGAGTGAAGTTCTGTGGGAGATTTGCCACCAAATCTAACAATGCATATTTTTGCAGGTTAGCATGATGTGAAGGGGTTAAGATCACAGAGCCACATTGCTGATAGGCAGACTCAGACTCAGCCAGATGCACTTCCTGTCATGTGCTCTCCATGT